ACCAGAGCTGCTTTGGGTCTTCCCTTTAAGTGGACTTCACCTGTAGCTTTCATCACAGCCTTTGTGACGCTGTTTGCTTTGGTCATTGCTGTTAACTAAAGATCTGTCAGAGCTTTGCCACAGCAAAGGATCTCTGGTTTGCATAGATAGCACATTTGCCTCACCTGTCAATCAAAAGGCCTTAACTTTGGGAGCTGACCTAGTCGTTCATTCTGCAACAAAGTTTATTTCCGGTCACAATGATGTGATTGCTGGTTGTGTTAGTGATCCAGAGGATTTGATTTTCAAAGTTCGCTAGTATTATCATATTATTGGTGGTGTTCTTGATCCTAATGTTGCAAATGACTGGTTTTGGTGGTGTGATCAGTTTTTAGCTAGCTGGAGGCTTGTTGGAGACCGTAAGGTTTTCTACATTTGACCTTGAGACAAGGTCCAAATTAAGGGGAGGGAATTGTCAATACTTGATGAACAGCTGTCAATTGCGCCAAAGACCTCAGAAGCTTGAAGACTGGTGGCTTGAGAAGTTAGGGGCTGATACGCAAAGATTGGGCTTATCATGCAAAGACTTTAAAAGTTCAAGGGCTTGTAATAAATGTTCTGTTACAACTGTTTCTGTTTTCTGTTTGCTTTTCTGTTCGGCTGTGTACTGTCCGTGCACGTGCACAAACATCAGTTCATTGAATCCGTTTGTATAAATTGAGAACTTGTACACAATCAAAGGTAGCATATGAATGAAATTAGAATTGTTCTTTTTCTCAAATTTAACCTCTGTTCTTCTTCTCTCTAAACTTCTTCCTCTCAATCTCAATTCTCTCTCACTTCCTGTCTACATCTCTCTCAACTACCTCAATTTTCTCTTCTTGAAGTTGTTTCAGGTTCAACCATGGCCAGAATTGAAGCTAGGAGAATCGACAGAGGATTGAGATCCTCACAAATACAAAGTGGAATCTCTCAATCACTCAATCCTAAATAACACCCTGAAAATCCTAACACAATCTCTCTTCAAAACAACAGGAAGAAAAGAGAGCTAAATCAACACTTAAAACGCTTCAAGGAGTGAACCATCTTCTCTGTTCAAATCTGGTTCCAAAAATTGATGATCTCATCCGCTGCAAGACCTCTTCCTATATATAGGGCTCTTAAGGCCCAACTCCTTGTGGCTCAAGGAAATAGAAGTCCGATTAAATATGTATTCCATTTGATGTTGTCATTTCCATATCCAATAGAATCAAACTAAAAACTACTAAGAAACCTGCAAATCATATTAGGACTTCTATGCAATTATATCATATTATCAATGAATCCCCACTAAAGTGCAGCTGCTCTCGGTAAGTCCAACTGAGATAAAAAATCACCAATGTCGAGTTTTGATTCGATGTCAAGTATTTGAGTCAAACTATAACACTTAAAATCAGAAACCCTCCTTTAACTTTGGAAGATTACCAAATAAAACCCTATAATTTTCAAAATATTAGAACCCCTCCTAAGCTTAAGAATTATTAGGAAACTCCCTTTAACTTTAAGATTTTATTAGGAAATCCTTCAAAATAGCATTAATCACAATTTTCACATTGACTGGTGAAATTACGCACATGATATTTTTACAAGTGAAAGTTAGGGTTCATGCTTTTAGGCCCCTTTGGTAAAGGGTTAAGGAAGAGAGATTAATGAGAAGGATTAATGTACGTAGTTAGCCCATTCGATAAGCTGAATGACTAAATTATTAATTTATTAAATAAGTTTTATTTTAGCCCGTATAATCAATTTTAGTGTTTAAGAATAATGAGGGCTTTGACTATTTTCTTTATAAATAGAGGGGCCAACTCCTAATCCTTCTAAATTGGAATATTAGTAAATCCCTCATTTTGAGGGGTTAACAATCTTTCCAGAGGGGATAGCGTAACTCTTGTACATTTTTTGTGTTTGGCAAATTATGAATGATTAACTTATTTAACTTTTGTACAGATTTTTTGTGTTTGGCGGGTTAAGAAGGGGTTAAAGTCTCTTTAGCCTCTTACTTAACCCGTTGTCAAACGACACCATAGGGAGTTTTCTAATATTTAAGCGCTGTGAAAATACTTACCTTGAAAACAAACATGTTATCTTTATACTTAGTAGCATGCCCCGATGTCTCCCATAATTTAATGCTTAGTGAAAATTATGCACTAACAAATTGATGACCACATGTCAATTTTTTTGAAATTTAAGACTAATAAAAATAGAAGAAAAGAAAAATGTTGGAAGAAATAAAAGGAAAATATATTTAAAAATAATTATTAGAATTTTTTTTAATTATGGATAGTTATAATTTAATTAGAATTAAGCAAGATTTAATTATTAGAATTTTCTAATTATAGGTATGAATAGTTTTAGTTTGATGATGATGAAATTTGATGAGGATTCTTAGGAAGATAAAATTAGTCATACACATGTTATCATAGAGGTAAACATGATACTTTTTTTATTAGGTTTGAGATTTGACACCTAACACTTTTTTTTATACACATGATGCTTTTTTGGGTGCATGTGATAGTTCATAAATTTCTCTTTATCTAATCTAATACTATTATAAAAGTGGGTTGCCATGTTAAAACATTTCTACCCAAAAATACCCTCCAGCACATCTATTCATACATACATGCTCAATTTTTTTATAACCTCCCTAATGCTTGTACATCCATGCATACAGACATGAAGGCATATATGCTCAATTTTTTATAACCTCTCAATTGATTGCAATCAAATTTTCAATTAATCACCCACTCATAACACTCCTCCACTAACTCATGATACACTAACATAACTTTATGTGCACTAATGATTAAAAAACGTTACAACTATTCCTCTCCTACCAAATCACTATAAATAACAAGAAACTTTTATCAAATTTCTCCCATCAACATTCCAATTTGTAATTAAAATTTAGATTGAGAAGAAAAGAGCCAAATCTAGCTCTCTTTGTTGCTTGCGACTTTGGCATTTTTTAGCTCACTTTATCTACGATCTTTATAATTATCATGTTCTTTTCTTGATCAGCATTGCTACAGACTAAGATCTATGATGTTTAATTATTTTTTGCCCTTTTTTAGAGATGATGTAAAAATAAGTGATTCATTTAATAAATAATAATTAAAGTTTCTATACATTTTCGCATACTATTTTGTTGTCTAACCATAATCATGCAGGATTTTGTTAACAAAGAAAAAGAAGGGGGAAAGGTACTAACAATTTTGAATCAATAAACTAGCATTTCAAAACAAATTAGAATAAGTTATTTGCTAAGTAAGAAATTTTTGAACTTGAGTTATTAGGTTTATTTTTAAAAAAAATTCTCTTCTATGTCAATGTTGTTTACTGTAATCCATTAAACTATTGCGAATATCAATCTAGATCAATAACTAGGTAATGAGAGGAGAGATATAAGACTGTTTTTTCACATATATCTACTCATATCATAAGTTTTTCAGCACAATATCAAGTCAAGAATACTTTGATTACTAAATTGGCTATTAGTTTAGTAAAATTATGCAAATAATGAATTAATAATAAAATTCGAAACCCTAAAGTATCATCTCAAAAGGCTAATGAATGGCATGACCATGGGTGGCGAAGAATTAGGTCATACATCTCTTTGGATTTATCAAAACAAAGTATTAGCTAATTAAGATTTCTTAACCCGTGTTATAAGTTTCTTTTTTACCAATGTTGTTTCTTGCAAATAATTAAATCATAGCTCAACTTCAATTTAGATCAAGAACAATGTAATCAAGGAGAAATATATATATTAATAATACTAATTTTTTTCATTAAAATTTCTAAATTGGGTTAAATTTTTTGGGTTAAGACCAAATTATCCTTGGCTGAAATTAGCCTCCTCCCATTGTAAAATGGTAGGTAAAAATATAAAAAAACCAATTAGGGTAAAACAAAGCCATAATTGACATGTGAGTAGAACATGCGAATACTCAGACATTCAAGTCACATAATATACTAATTTGCCATGTTTAAACAGGCTGGGTATGTAATTGCAAACTTTTACAATTTGGGGTGTATAAGATTAAGAAAGATGAAAATATAAGGTATTTAAGTGTTTTTTAGCCTTTTAGAAACCCCCCTTAAATTTGGTCATTTCTTAGATAAAACCATTAACTTGGAAAATGTCATAACCCTACCCCCCCCCCCCCCCCCCCCACACACACACACACAAAAAAAAAGGATCTTTGGCGATCTCAATCCCCTTAAACTTTTAACAATTTTCAAAAAATTCTTCTTAATGGCAATAATCCTTACTTCGTACTTTTTCACACATGAGTAAAATTATGCAGGTTGATATTTTTGCCAATGAAATTTGTGTTTCACGCTTTTGAGGTTTGAATGTGGTTTTCTGAGATTCTTAAAACTTAATTTTATGATTGGAAAAACTAATTTGATATCTAATAAAGTATTAATGCAAATCAAACTAATTTGAAATACTATTATATAATAAAGCTATACATTAGATACATAAAATTATCATTGCAATGCGCACTTATGGCCTACATATAAATATGAAAATGGACACACGTGCAAAGCACGTGCACCGTATTATTATATAAAGGGAGGATTACCCCGTTACTTTAAAAAAAATTAAAATGTTTTTTTTGGTGTCACTGGATAGTTCACAAGTGTTTATTTATTATTATATAAAAGGAGGATAACTCCGGTTACTAAAAACGAAAAAGCAAATAAGAAAATAAAAATCCCTTACAAATGAAAATTACATTATACACACTTATGTCATTAGGATCCACTTTAAACGGTTCCAAAGAAACCCGACTTCTTACCCGCCCCGTTAAAATTGGCCGATTGCCCTCTCTCAACAACTCAACCACCATCATCATCATAAAAAATTAGGGCTCACGAGAGCTCCTCCCAAATTCCCCACAATTTAACCGGCTGCTCTTATCTTTTTTCCGATACCCCCGTCCCCCCCCTCTCTCTCTCTCACTAAATCTTTCTCCCTTCTTTATTCCTTGCAGGGTCCAATGAGGCCTCTCTCCAAGAAAAACTCCGACGAGGTATTTATTTTTTATTCCTCTCTAGTTTCTCGTAATTCCAAGAGTTACAATCTCATTCACTACTAATTCTTGCCAAATTTTCCCAGGATCGGAGCAGAAAGAAGAAAAAGATCAAATCCAAATCGGCCAAGCGCCGTCGAGATCCCTCGATCTCCTCATATTCGTCGTCCGAATCCGAATCCGACTATAAACCTCGAAAGAAGAGCTCGAGATCGAAGAAGCTCGAGAAAAGGAAGAGAGGATCCAAATCGAAGAAACTTGACAAGAAAAAGAACCGCAAGAAGAGGTCTCGTAGAGATTCTAGCGTTAGCTCATTCAGCAGTGATTCGGGTTGCAAGTTCTCTCCGTGCTCGGATTCCGAGGAGAGATCGAGGAGCCCGGTTAGGAAATCGAAACCAAGAAAGAGGGATAGGAAAAGCTCTAGGCGTCATGAGTCTAGTCGCAGCCGGAGTAGGTATAGGTCTCCGAGCTGCTCAACTTGCAGAGGGAGTAGAAGTCCAAGCCCCAGCCACAGTCCCATTGTGGATAGATTTCAAAGTAGTCGTGGGAGGAGTCCAAATGAGAAGAGAATTCGAAGCCAAAGCCGCCCTCTAGTTGGGGAGAGATTTGGAAGTAGTGAAGGGCGAAGTCCAATTGAGGAGAGAAGTCGAAGCCCAAGTTGCAGTCCGTTCGAGGAAAGATTTCAAAGTGGTCGAGGGGGAAGTCTAATTGAGGAGATAAGTCAAAGCCACAGTCACAGTTTAATTGAGGATAGGTTTAGGAGCAGTCGCAGTCCAATTGAGGATAGGCTTAGGAGCAGTGGCCAATGTTCCATTGATGAGAGATATAGTGGGGAGGGAGAGAGAAAAAGGCTGAAGTCGGTTGTTGCGGTTGTGAAAACGTCGGATAATGATGAGGATAAAATTATTAACGCTTATGATGATTACCCATCTTCTCGGAGCTATGATGGTTATGATAAAGGGGGTATAGAGAGGAACTTGGAAGCTGTGGACAAGAGAATGGACTCATATGAGATTCATAGGGATCCGCCAGTCAAGGATTCTGATGTCGGTGATGGCTTGATGAAGGATGATTCAATGAGGAAGGAGAACAATGTTGTAAGTGAAGATGGTGTAGAGGAGGCTGCTGAATTAGAATTGATTTTAAGGCAAAAAGCATTGGAGAATTTAAAGAAGTTTAGAGGTGCACGTCCTGTAAAGGGAGAATCTCTTAGTGATAAGAAAGATGATACTTCTAAACCTGAATCGTGTCAAGGTTCACAACATTTCATTAAACCATCAGAATCTAAGCCTCCTAGTTCTTTAGATGACCAAAGACTTGTTAAGCAGATAGCAGTCCCAAATGAATTAAGACCATCAGTATCTAAATCTCCTAGTTCTTTAGATGACCAAAGGCTTGTTAAGCAGAGAGCAGTCCCAAGTGAATTGAAGGCTAAGTCTGTTGTTAATATGACCACCGAGAAAAATGATGGGAATAAAGTGCATAATCTTTCGAATTATAGTGGGGATTCGAAACCTGTTGCTAGTTCCATCACTAGTAGAAAGACTCCAGATAATTTGAAAAGGATGCAAGTTTCTTCTAATAAGATGCCAGTCGAAGAAGCCTCATTGGCCAAAGATAACCAAAATAAGAGAGCTGTTACCATAACTGGCAGTGGTGGGGTTGGTAAGAAGGAAGTAGTTGCAGCTGATACTCCAACTTCGAGAGCTCCTAACCCACACAATGAAAATTGCAAATCTGATGAACCCATTGCTGAGTCTGCTAGTGGGGGCCAGTTCGAGGAAAAGACATTTTCTAGAATGCGTGACGGTGAAATGGTTCAGGTGAGTTCGTTTGATTGTATGTAATGCTGTAAAGAACAAAGTCAAGAAGTTGTAGATGATTTGGTTAATCTTTGCTCAAGTGGTTTTAACTTAACCATTGCATTATGTAGTCTATATTTTCCTTTCTTACACTTGTTTGACATTCAGTGGTGCTCTTTTTTGTTTGGTAGGTGAGCTACAAGGTTTACATACCAAAGAAAACACCTGCCTTGGCACGAAGGCAACTTCAAAGATGAAGTATGTTGAAACGCTCGAGTTCTCCCCTGTCTTACTTTAAGCATACAATAGCCATTTATTGAAGCTGACTTATTTTGTGTTTATTGTTAATGGTAGGTAACTGGGATTACATTATTAGATAGCAGATGCGGAGATATCTTGGTGGAGTTCACATATTAAGCGCATATTTGATAATTCTATTGGTGCCTTACTGAAGTATTTCAGGCTGTTTTGAGAGTATGCAATCTGTCATCCATGCTCACCTATAGCGGTGCTGAACTCTTAATTTTCTGATAATTTTGCAGTATTCATTGCTGGTTATTAATTAGTATCAAATAATTTATGTTTTGTCCAACATACTGCATAGGACTCTTGTGATATATCAAGGCTTTATTTGTTTACCATATAGTATTAACTTATCATACACAGTTGAAAAGTTTACTTATTGAATTCTTTTTATTTGGTACTGTTGCTTTTATTCTTTACACTCATTACCTTTTCATCAGAAAGGTGGCATTTGATCTCCTTTGGCATTACTAATTTTTGTGTAGGTTTTTGCTTGAAGAGGATTTGTTAATTTGTAATCAACCTTAGCAAAAAATTTCTGCTTATATGACATAATAACTTTTTTTCGTATGAAGTCCTTATAGTGCCACTAAATTTTCTAAATCAGGTATTACTTTCTTGCTACCCTACAATCTATTTTCTTGTGTTGCTACCCATATTTTTCCAGTAATTGTTTTTTATTTTTTGAAATTTCCAAAACGCAAGCCGTGGCTGATTAAATAAACTTTGTTGAATATGTAAATTTTGTCCATATCAAATAGTTTCAGAGCCTGAATGAGATTCTCCTTGACCAAAATGAAGCATTGTGGAGTGTTTAGTCATTGTTGAATGGGCCTTGGTTGTTTCTTAAGATTCTAAACTGCTTTAGTGCAAAATTTTCATATATCTAATAATGAGGAAAATTGGAAAAGTCACTATGCATGGACAATAAAAAATTGAAAGAGACCTCGCTACGTTTTCTAATGCATGGAGAAATACGTATGTAAGTCAGTGCAACTGATAGTGAAACAGATGGAATTTGTGAAACATAATTTTTTTAGATGCCAATGAAAAATAGTTTTTGAGCTACTAGTGAAACATAATCACTCTTGGATGATATCAACAGGACATGTTTTTTGGTTATCATCTATGTGATCAGTTTCCAATCATGCTGCAATTGCAATATGTTAAATTATAACCTTCCATCATCATTAGACTTGTTGACATTTTAGCTTGGCTATGTCTTTGCCAACCATGCTATTTAAGCAGATCACCTTGTCTATCTAGGTAGAAAGAACATATTGTTCTAGAGATATTTGTTCAACTAAAAGACAAACATGAATGGAATTATAAGCAGTGAATATAGGTTGCACATGTAATTTTGTTTTGAGTGTTGTCTTAGGTGTTTTTGACTATTAGACTATGGTTGAGGAAGTTACTGGGATCATAGTTGCACCGGGTTGCAGGTATAATTTGTGACCAGGACTTAAAAGAGGTATCATGGACGACGTAGGAGTAGAGGCTTCAAAACTATGTACTGATGTAGTGTCCTTTGAAGCTACTTTAAAAGGAGTTGTAGTGAACTAAGAAGCAGCAACAGAGCTAAGTGCTAGACACTGCTTAAAAGTTAACATGCTGGATTGACAGGACATGATTGTCTCAGGCAAATTATTGGCATTAGATAATGAACTAGAGTAAACCAATCGATGAACTAGAGTAAACCAATCGACAAATAAATTATGCACTTATGGCCAAGGCTCCATGGCTGTTTGTTTCATGCTCATAATGGTAGGAGGTAAAATACTATTTTGTTGTTGCTATTAAGTCAATCTAATTCTCCCTGGCAAAATTTCATTTTCAACTAAACATTTTGTAGGACTGTAGAATTATTTTCCTTTGTCTTGGCAAATTCATATGATGATGGTAGAATTTTATAGTTCGATCATGATTGTATAAACATTCTTCATTTTGTTTGAGGAAAGATGGATGGTATGGGTTCAATCTTCCTTGTTTCCCCTGATCCCCTTCTCTGATGGTGCCTGTCCACTGGTATCATTTGGAGAAGCTAATCAGAGCTTCCTGAAGATCCTGTTGTTTTTCTCTCTGTTTTTTTCCTCATTCTTTCTCCTCCGTGAAATAAAAAAGTTCATTCGATTTGTTCTGGAGCACCACTCTAAAGATCTCATTCTTTTGCCTAGAAATAGAATATGAGCTTAATTCTTTTTCTTTATCTTTCGTTTCACA